CTTGCGCAAGAGAGCGTCTACACTGGCACGGATGCTTTTGCGCAAAAGCAAATCTTTTGCACAAAGGCACATGCCAGTATAGACGCTCTCTTGTGCAATTACTTTCAACAGAAAAACTTTTCCGTTAAAAGCATTTGCGCAAAATCATGCCAGTCTAGATGCAGCCTGAGTGTTGGACATAATATTTTACTTAATTTAAAAATGAAGCCTGGCTAATAAGCCCCCATCTGGCTGCAGCATCATAACACTCCTGTAACCCCACCCCCCCCACTCACACCCTAACCCTGAGCCCATCATACCCCTGAACCCACTACCCTGAGCCCTTCACAGCCCCACATTCCCAGACACCTGCAACAACACTCCTGCTCCCACCACACACCTCAACACTGTGCCCTGGGCCCATCATACACCCAGAACACCTGCCCTGAGCCCCTCATACACTTTAACCCGGACTCCTGCACCCCCACATTCCCATGCCCCTGCCATAACACTCCTGCATTAGGGATGTTAAATTGTATGTAATCAGCTAATTGAGTAGTCAATGGAAATTCTATCATCTACTCAATTAGTTGATAAGGGGGAAAAACCACAGAGCCGCAGCAGGGTTATCTCCACCTGGCTCTTACTCCACTTAAAAGGCAGAGGCACAGCCTGGGACCAGGCATTGGCCAGGAATCAGCTGATTCTCAGCTTGCACCCATCCCCCACTGTGCCTCTGCCTCCCTGCGGAGATGGTGCTGGGGGGAACTGGCTTTTAAGATGGCTCCCCCAGCACTGGCTCCTATTCCCCCCCCCTTGCTGCATCTGATAGACCTTGGAGAGGAGGGAAGCAACTAGTTGAATAGTGACTCCATTACCCAACAAGCATATGCTTATCGGGTAGTTTACTACTTGCCTGGTTGCTATGGGGAGGAGGGAAGCAACTAGTTGAGTAGTGACTCCATTACCCAACAAGCATATGCTTATCGGGTAGTTTACTACTTGCCTGGTTGCTTACATCCCTATCCTGCATCGCCATTCATCCCAACCTTGCTCCCTGAGCCAATCATACACCTAAATCCCCTATCCCGAGTCCCTCATATACCTCAACCTAGAATCCTGCACCCCCACATCCCTAACCCCCTGCCATAAGATTGACAGAAGACAGCCTGAATGCGTGCATGAAGTTGGATTTGACCAGTTACGATGTAAACATCAAAGAAATGTGAGAAAAGATGCAGTAGCAGAAATCCTATTAAATAAAGTCTGTGAGTACAATGTTTCATTTATGCTATTATTAATCATTATGTCAATTATCAATAATATTAAGTTTTATAATTTCAGTCATGCAAATGGACATTCTTAAACAGCTCTTTGTTGACCACATATTCTGAATTTTGATGTAGGCTGGCTCTTTGGTTTGTAAAGGTTGCAGACCCCTGATCTAGTGGATCCCAGCTCTTCCAGAACATGCACATATAGAACTGAATAAAGGAGACATGTGGATCTGGGCAACCCCCTCAGGAAAGAGGGCCCACAGCCTGAAACGAGAAATTTAATTAAAATTGCTTCCATATTCTTTTCACTCTGGTTCCCTGTCAGATGACAGTCATACTTAGTTACTGTTGACCAAGCTAAACTAAAAACAATGACTTAGGGTTGAACATCTCTGTGTCTCAAATCAGTCTCACAGTTTAGGGTGCTGGAATCAAAACAATGCCTGACAGCTATGGTCTCCCTAGTATCAGAAGTTGCAATTTACCGTGAACTCCATCCTGACTGCAGCCTTTAATCTCCCCGATCAGAATTTCATCCAGAAAGGGATGGAACACAACATACCGGAAATGCACTGAAAAGAAGCAAAGATGCCATGTCTGAGAAAGTCACATACTTAATTTCCTTTGAGTGACAGCCATTTGAAAATCTACCCCATGCCCTCAAAATTTTGTAACCGATGTTTCTTTAGCAGCTTTCAGCTCCATGCCAACAATAACAGGAGCACAATCAAACCTCTACAATACTTTTAAGTTATTAGGAATCATGTGCTGTGTGTGTAATTGATTTAGTAAGTAACCTTGTTACTGTAACACTCCCCACCCAACTGTTTGCTCTGAGAAATTTATAGTCCAATACAAAAAATAAGCAGCAAGTGTGGCAGACACTACTTCTTTCTCCCAAGTACAACAGAGCCCTGCTCTTCCTATTGGGCATTATTACATTACAAATAAGTACCACCAAGCTCTTATCTGAAGATCTTAAGAGCATTTCAAAAGATCATTATAATTATCCCTATTTATAGACAGGGAAAACGAGGCACAGAGAGTTGCAGTGACTTCCCCAAGCAGGCCAGTCACAGAGCCAAGAATAGAACCCAGGTCCTTTGAGTTCTACGCAATGCCTAAGCCTCTATACCACACTAAGGGCACATCTACACTATTCAGAAGATCAATGCTGCCGTGGTTATCTTCCCACTAAATTGAACTCAGAGGGTGCCCCCGTCGACGCTGATACTCCTGCTCCTCACGAGGAGTAAGGAAAGTGGACGGGAGAATTTGCTCCTGTCAGCCGCCTGCTGTATGGACGGCGGAAAAATGTTGTAAGATACTTAGATTCCAGCCAATTAATTTACATAGCTGGAGTTGGGTATCTTACTTTGACCTTCCGTTGTAGTGTAGACCAGGCCTAAATAATGCACTTTGCCATTGAAAAACAGCTGGCACCTAGGTGGAATGCAATAGTTGGATGACAGTGCACAGCAATGCTACATAGCAGAGAGGCTCAATTTTAGAGAAATTCTCATTTTGATTTCAGAAGCGAATTTTAAAAATATCTTTAAAGCTGTCTTATTTACTTTCTTATTTTTATAAAAGGCGCTTTTCCAGCCCAGGAAGCGATGGGAGAAATTGCTCCAAAGTACAGTTACAACCAATTTTAATTCTCTCATCACAGAATTTCAGATAGGTTCCCCCAGCAATATTTATACCAATATTTATTACTATATATTAGATTGTGAGAGCATTGTAAGTATGCTAGACACTCAACACAAAGAGACAGATGCTTGTTCCAAAAACCTTATGAATTACAAAGATAGAAGAAGTGATAGTAAAAAAGTATAACATACAAGGAAATTGGCATGGATGGGGATTACTGGTTCCAACAGATTATTTTTTGACTTTGTAGTCATCTCACACATTAAAGCTGCTAGAATCCAAAATCCTGGCTGGTTATTCTAATTGGCAAAGCAGAACATAACCCAACTTTGTTGTTCTGCAAGGCAGAACTAACCAACCAAGTCTTTCTCTAGTGTAAGTTAAACAGATAAAACTGGTGATGGGAACAGAAGTGAACACATCTGGAGAGGCCAATTTTAGACAATGTGCTTGTGGTGAGAAAAGTAACTTTGATGTCTCAACCTTTTGTTACTAGCTAGGAACTCTCCTGGCTACTGGGATGCTCTGGGTTTCAGAAGGGCTGTGCGGTTGCTTTCTGTAATAGATTAAATGCCGGACGGTGGTTAGGGATGTCAACATGTAGATGACTACACGATTAACCGATATGCCTGACCTCATCAGTTAATCCTGTCATCTACATGCACTCTGTATTAGAGGTGGCAGGGGCAACAGAGGAGGTTGTCGTGAAGCAGCCCCTGTCTCTGTATCAGAGGCAGCAGTGTGGGGCAGCAGGTGGAAACCAGTCTGAGCAGGAAGCCAGTTTTTAAACCAGCTCCCATCCTGGACCGACTTCTGCCTACCACCTCACACTGCTGCCTCTGATACAGTGGGGCCAGGAGCGCAGTGACTGCCAGCCCCGCCCCCAGGGACTATCAAATAGTCGTGTAACTACTAAAATGTGATGCGGTTCCACAACTATTCAATTGCATGCTATCTACTAATAGTGGTGGCAAGCAGTGCTCAGAAGCATGATCATTTCTACAGCTTAACACATGCCTGAGTCATATATCCAGTTTCTACTGCAGGCTATTCCAGTGCCCAGGGACAGATATTGCAATAGTTCTCTTTGTCCAGCAAAAGGGTGGAGGTAAAGCCAGTGGCTATTCTGGAACACAGCTGAACTGACAACTATTTAGGCAAAAAAAAGCTTTGTTAATACAGAACTCAGGTTGCAGGTGCTCAGTTTCCTGTGCACCTCTTGTCCTTCCAGCACAAGAGAGTTCAAGTTCTCAAAATGCAAATGTTACAGAACAAGGAAGTGTGGCACTGAGACCCCTTGCACAAATATCAGCACTAAGAGGAAAAACCTTCAAACATGAGAAAGCCAGGAAATGCAAATAAGGTGATACTTGCCACACAACACAACCTTCACTCTGCTCCCTTAGAGCCCCACCCTAAGGAGTCCCTCAGGCAGAACACAAGAGGAAGGAATGGGGTTGGATGCCTTCCTCACATTTTTATCCAACTAGCAGCAAGTGGTTCCCACTGTAGTGATTCTGCTCAAAGCACAAGGAAGGTCTGTTGGAGTGTAGGAGCAGGTAAGCCAATTTATAGTTGCAGTGAGCACACAGAAAACAGCTGCCTTTGACAGGGACAAGTGATATTCTGTGATGTTCCCCTTGGGAGCTCTACCTTGGCAGAATTATGATTGTGAGCCTTGAACCATTCCTTTAGCCTTCCTAGTATGCTAACTAGAGACTCTGGAGTATCCTGAGAACTGCACAGCTAAGAAAAAGTGGTAGCAGACCTTTAGTGTGCGAGGCACCATCCCCAGGAAATATGTACGAGTCTTCCAGCTTTGTGATGTCATACAGACAGATGCAGAGGCCAACGTTGTACACAACCTGTTCAGAGGAAAGCCAAAAGCAATAAATCCTTGGAACCTGAAAATAAATAAATTCCCTCAAATCGCTAACATATGCTACTCACACACAAGTTAAGCAGGAAGCTTATGCAAATGGCCAACCAGATGAGTTGCCACAGGAAGAACCGGACAAGAGATTTGTCCACAGATCAAAGCACTGTACAGGTGCATACCTCAGCTCTTGTGGGGGAAAATACAATGCATACTCCACCTTCTAGGGACCATTCTAGCTGTCTTACAGGCATGGGAAGGCACATGTTGACTTACTCAAGACAGAACTGCTGCAACTTGAGCCTTTTAGGTGGCTGCCCAAAATGGGAGAAGCGAGTCTCATGAGTGGCTTAGATAAATATCACCCTACTAGATGAGAAAATAGCATATCCAGAATTAGCTCTTCCAAAGGCCAGAAACACCCCTTGCTGGGTAATCATGCCCTAGAATCTCTTTCTGCAAGAGATGCGCTTCATTCAGAAGTCATGAAGATTGTCAGGGCAGGTGAAGAAAACCTCCTGCCCCAATCATGATGCATCCATCATTAATAGTAGACCCATCAGGGAATACTCAGATCAGAAGGAGCTAGTCTATATTATAACAGAATAGTGAAAATATTAAAGATGCCGGTATATCTTAGGGGCTTGGGGCTGCCTAGCAATCCAAATTACAAATAGAAGAGACTTCTTATGCATCCCCACAAACCCTTACAACATATTAAGTGTCCCAAAAACGGGGCTGGCTTCTGCCATTCCTTTAGGAGTTTGCTCCTCAGCCTATCAAAAATCTTTTCTGATGTTCAGCTATGCTCCTCCTATCAAAAATCTTTTCTGATGTTCAGTTCTGCTTTGTTTACCTTTATTCCTGTTCATTCCCCAACATACAGAAATCCTGAACTTTCCTACTCCCTGTTCTTCAAACACTTGTAGCTATCATCTCATCTTAAGCCACTAATGGCCAAGTGAGACATATTTAATACTTCCATAAAAGTCAGTCTTCATAGCTCCTGATCATTCTTGCTGGTCTTCTCTGAATTCCCTTCAGTTACCTAAGTAGAACTGAATTCTACATTCTAACCATAGTTCTGATGTTGTGTCTACGGATTTTGACAGGGGTCAGCAACCTACGGCACACATGCAATAAGTGGCATGTGAGCCAATTTTGAGTGGCACGCGCAGAGGGAGTTCAGCCGCCCCCTCCCCTGCAGCAGCTGGAGACTTGAGGGCTTCCTGTTGGAAGGGCAAGCCAGGAGGGTCAGGGGGAAGGCATGGGCATGTAGGGGCCAGGGTAACCCCACAAGCAGAATGGGCAGTATGACCCCGCACCCAGGGGGAAGGCATGAGTATGTAGGGGCCCAGGTGACCCCACAAGCAGAATGGGCAGTATGACCCCGCACTGGGCTCCACGTCCCTGGGGCTGCCAGTCCAGCCTGGGCATGCAGGTCCCAGGAACTAAGGAGTTAACACTCTGCTTGGAGAGGGAGCGGAGCTGGAGCTGCTCTGCAGATACAGGGCAGGGAGGCTGGTCACAAGCTGCTGCCTCCCTGGGGCGCCTGGCCCCAGGCTATGCCATGCTGCTCTCTGCGGGGGGAGGGGGGGGAAGGAGGAGAAGATAGCCTCTTCTCCAGCATCCTGCTGCACCTGGCAGGGCTGGAACCAGCCCCGAGCAGCCCCAGGCTCTGCCCACTCCAGCCCAAGAGCTGCAGCCTTCAGGTGAGGGGCGAACCCCGGCAAAGGGCTGGGCTGGGCTGGGCAGAGAAGTGACTCTGTCCTCATTCCTCCGGCCCCACCTCCCCCCATTACTGCTCATCCCAGAGCTGCTGACCTATCGGTGTGGACGCTGGGGGCACAGGGATGTGTGGGTGGGGGGGTAAAGGAGGATGCAGGGGCAGGTGTTGCACTGAGGGGCATGGGGCAGTGCAAGGGATCAGGTGGGGGAGGGATGATGGGGTTGAGGGAAGCAAGACTGGAGCAGAGGGAAGATGTGGGGGGTTGTTATATAATTCTACTTTCCAGAAGTTGCACTTTCCTTTACTCCCCACTTCTTTGCCTCCCTCCCCAACTAGCTATTTGACTCCATTCTCACCCTCTCACCTTTTCTGCGTTACTCCCCTAACCCCCTTCCATTCCCAAACCCGCTCTTGTACCCGCACCGTCTCCTGCCCCCAAACTCCCTTCCAAATCCTGCTCTCCTCACTTCCCCTCCTGCCCAGCTACTGAATCTCTATCCCACTCTCTGGCAGCCCTGTCCTGCACATTGAGCCCCTCATTTTTGTCCCCACCCCAGAGCCTAAGGGGGTCCACAAAATCCACTAACTCTGGAACCCCAGAAAAGTAATTCTGACCTATGAGAAGCCCTGAACCTCAGTCCTCCCTGTCCCTTTCCCTCACCCCCTGGGGCTGGAGTGCCAGAGGAGTGAGGTGTCTCAGTTGGGGGCCACATCAGTGAGGGTTGAGGGTTTTTTTTTTTTTGCGCTTCTCACTTGTGTGGTCCCCAACTGATTTTTCTGTGGGTCAGTGACCCCCAACCCAAAAAAGGATCCCCATACCTGCCATAAAGAAAAAACATGGAAATCTTTTGTGTTGGACATAAATTAATAGTTTACTTCATTTTAAATAAAGTTTAATAAACTAACATGAGAAAGTTAAAACACTTAATCTGTTTGATAAATTAAACTATTCTTCCTAGCTGCAGCTGGTTCAGAAAATATGGTCACCGTACCCAGCCTGTCCCTGTCCCTTCCTCCCCCCAGCACACAGATCTGTAAATAGAAGTGAATAAGTTAAATCTTGGCAACCCCTGGTATTTGGTATGATGCCTTTTTATATGCTGCATCAAATCTCATCAGCTTTTTTGTTGTCAGATCACATTTCAAGTGTTTAGTGCACAGCAGCTAGATATGAGCATCCGATTGTTACTTTTCAACATTATTGTTTTCAAGGTACTTCCTTCCTCCAAGATGTACAAGGCTGAGTCTCTTATTCCTACTTTCTACTCCTGCCAACTACTGTAAGTTTCATTCATGATTTGTCTACCCCACGGGGCATCCTTCTCAGTTCAGTATTCCTTCAGAATATCACTACTGTGCTCTTCCCCTCCTTGTTCTCCATAATTTGAAGTCACATTAAATAACACCAGAGCCATCACCTTCTCCAACTCAACATTGTTGGTCATTATCCTTTGTATGATGGTTGTATACATAGTTTTCAGTCTTTGTAATGTTCCTCATATACAAGCCATTCTGAATTTAATTTTCTGCTGCTTACACTGTCACCCACAGCTACACAGAATTCTCGTTGACATGACCAGTGCTTTAAGTTTTACCTTGTTAGCTAACTTCTTATTTAGCTCTTCAGTAATGGAGTCATTGAGTTTCATTTCAAACTGCCAGGGAGGAATCCGTACCGTATCCATCATCTCCACTAAAACAAACATGGTGGCTAGTAGCAAGAGTCCCTGGAGAAAGAGAGCAGAGGGCCAATAAGGTGGTTCATACTACAAAGTTTTGCTAGCATAGCTATGTTCGCTAGAAATCATGGGTGTGTGTGTGGGGAAGAGGGGTGAAAGAAGTCACATACATATCACACTAGATAGCTGACACAGCTATACTGGCAAATCCCCCAGTATACATGCAACTACGCTGACAGGAGCATGCTCCTGTTGGCATAGCTAATGATGCTTAGTGAGGAGAGCTCTCTATATGCAGGCCAAGGCTCAGTACTCTAGATAAAACATGAGATAAAACCCTTTCAGATCAGTGTGGGCCCAGAATCTCCCTAACAGCTCCAGTTGGATGAGGTGTCTGGGAAATTGTTTGGTCTCTGCACTGTAGACATTTCATTCTCATGGAATGTTTATAAAATCTGGCAGTTTCAATTAAAAAAAGGTGATTCAGCTATGCAGCAAAATGATCCTTAAGACTTACTTGGTTAGAGGTTCTGCACAGTGAACCCCAACTAATAACTTTCTGTTTTTCCATTCAAGTCTCCAGCTCAATCCTATATAGTCATGGGCTCTTCCGGTCAAGCAACATCTTTTCTTCACAGTGCAGTGCCTAGCAACAGGGCTCCTAAGCACAATACTAATACAAATAACACCGGAGCTCAGAAAGAGCTCATCTTCAATGCTGAGGATATATCCATAAGACAAGACCAAGTGTTAGAGAGGAATTATGCCCTCTGCTGGCTTTGAAAGGAAGATCTCCTGAGAGAGCATGATTAGAAGGGGGGTTGGTTGGGTGGTTCTTAGCTCATCTATCAGAGGGGTAGCCGTGTTAGTCTGAATCTGAAAAAGCGATGAGGAGTCCTGTGGCACCTTATAGACTAACAGATTTATTGGAGCATAAGCTTTCATGGGCAAAGACCCACTTTGTCAGATGCATGTAGTGGAAATTCCAGAGGCAGGTATAAATATACAGGCATAAGAAAAGAGTTCCAATCAAGAGTAAGACAAGAGATAACGAGGTCAATTCAGTCAGGGAGGATGAGGCCCACTCCTAGCAGCTGATGTGGAGGTATGAACACCATGAGAGGAGAAACTGCTTTTGTAGTTGGCTAACCATTAACAGTCTTTGTTTAATCCTAAAATGATGGTGTCAAATTTGCAAATGAACTGTAGCTCAGCAGTTTCTCTTTGAAGTCTGTTCTTGAAGTTTTTTTTGTTGCAGGATGGCTACCTTTAAATCTGCTACTGTGTGTCCAGGGAGATTGACGTGTTCTCCTACAGGTTTTTGTACATTGCCATTCCTGATATCTGATTTGTGTCCATTTATTCTTTTACATAGGGACTGTCCAGTTTGGCCGATGTATATAGCAGAGGGGTATTGCTGAAACATGATGGCATATATTACATTGGTAGATGTGCAGATGAATGAACCTGTAGGAGAACACTTCAATCTCCCTGGACACACAGTAGCAGATTTAAAGGTAGCCATCCTGCAACAAAAAAACTTCAAGAACAGACTTCAAAGAGAAAAAGGTGTGTACCTCCAGGGCCCTAGCAGCAATTTAAAGGGCTCAGAGATCTGACTGCTTCGGAGGTAGCAATGCCAGTGGACAGAAGCCCTGGGCCCCTTTAAATTGCCAAGTCTTGAGGCATCTGCCTCTTTTTCACGCCCTTCCACACCCCACTCACCTTTAAGTGGAATAGCAAAAACCTTGTTTTCCCCTTATTAGGGACTTTTTAAATTATTTCCCCAGGCACGTGGCACCTTGAGAAATATGGAACATGGCAAGAATAAGGGGTCGCTGCCAGTGCAGCCTGGCACAAGTTTTTGAGTCAGACCCATGGGTGAAGAGGGCACTGAGCCCTCCCCTCTGAGGTTGTGTCTACATTGGCATAATCTTGCGCAAAAG